CATCGGGACAACCATCGGGAAACCCACATCCATTGGGACAACCGCCGGGACAACCGGGGGCCACGCCCGTCGCTCGGGGGGCGGCGTTTGTTGGCAATATATGGCCCCTTCCTGCTCGCGCAGCTTCGCCTCGCCCGCACGCACGACACGAACCGAAACCGAAACCGAAACCGATTTTCAGGTTGGGGTCACTTCCGTAGGCATGTGGCTGTTGTCCTCCGGAGTCGGGCGAGCAAGAGCACCCAGGCGACTTGGTCGACATGCGCCCCTCGCCAGAGCGGACAGGAGCGACTTCGGGAGGGTGCCTATGTCGGAGGTGGATAGACCTCCTACCCTGACACGTCGCTTAAGGAATTGGCCGTTTTCGGTTCGCGAGAGGGCGTCGCGGCCGTCGTTTTTGCGGGTCCAGGCCCGTCGGTTTCGGTCCCAGGCCGTTTTCACTAAGGGGAGGTCTTTTAAAGGGAGGTTTGTCCACCGCCGACTATGGGGGGTGGCCCAAATGTGGGGCGAAGAAGATGGGATTGAGGCAATCAAATCCTCGGAGGTCGGGGTGCGCCGTCTCGCGCCGTGAGTGCTCTAAGCGGTCGCTGATGGTGGGTGGCCCAAATGGGGGGGTGAAGGAAAGGCCCCCGAAAGAAGCGCACTTCAGGGCCTCTCTTGGGCCCCCGCTGGCTCCAGAAGGGGCCCCCTTTTTAGGGCCCTGCTCTTCGCCCCCCGTCTGGGCCACGCCCCAGTGGCGCCCGCCCGACGCAGTGCGGGTGGGGCCCTGGTGGTGGGCAGCTGGTGGATCTGGACGCCCGAAATGGGTACGGAAAGAATGGGTACGATGCCCAACAGCAGTTCCTGTTCATTTTGAGCAGGGCTCGCTGTCCGCGCCGCCGCGGCCTGTGTCCACTTGAGACAGAGGGCCGCCCGCCCAACAGCGGCCGCTGTTGGTGAGGAACAACATTTGTTGTTGGGCATTGTACCCATTCTTTCCGTACCCATGTCGGGCGTCCATAGTGGAGAGCCCGACGAGCAGGTGCAGTCATGTGCGGGGGGCTCGGGCAGCTATCGGAGAGTGCGAGCAGCCGCTTCTGGTTTCGGGCCGGACGAAAGGGAAGGATTGGGAAAGGGGGGGGTAAAAAATCTGCTGCATGCAGCTGGTTTTGGCCCCAGCGAGGGGCCCATTCTTCGATACATGGGCGCCTCCGGCGACGGGAGGCGCCGGGAAAATCAGCTACGTGAGCTGATTCTCAACCCCCCCCTTTGCTATCCCCCCCCCCTTTCGCCCGACCCGATAGTTGTCGCAGCGCTGGCGGACTCGCAGCGCGGTCGGAGCCGGGCTACGCCGGGACGCTGCAAGCTGAAATTGCTCACAAGCGGGCGGCGGGCAGAAGAGGGCGGCCGTCAAGGGAATTCAAGCAATAGGTAATTACAGTCGGACCGAGGTATAGGATGTATAAGGTCGAGGTCGGGGTGGGTACCCCAGTGTCCTTCGCGTCTGTTGGATGTTTTTGTGCATTCTGGGGAGGGTATCCTCGAATGTCCTTCAATTTTGGCCGGCGGAGGGTCTCATGTTCTCGAAGGGTGTTCTTTTGGCCTAGTTCTGATTGTATTTACCACGGACTCGTCCAAGGCGTTCCTTTTCCTGTGCAAGCTCCTCGGCACCGCCTGCACCCCGGCCCGCCCTCCGGCCGCCTGAGGCCCCGCCCGCCTGTGCTCTGTCTCCCCAACTAGAGCTTTGCGTAGCCCGCCTAGCTTTTAACCGGCAGAGATTCGCTCTCGACCCGCAGACCAAACATGTATCTACCACGGAGCCCAAGGATCAGGGCCAGATCTGCGCAACGCACGTGAGGACCCTTCAGTCTTGATTTCTCCAGGCGGGCAGAAGGCGCTCGTTGCTTCTGCCCCTCCGGCCGTCCTGGGCTTCCGGCCGACGAAGTGGGCGCAAAAGACCTTGCCAACGCCTTTCCAGCCCGCCTCCACATAGCCACCCTCGTGCCCCAACGCCTACCCATCGAGTGAAGCAGCAGGAATGGCATGCGCGGAACAGTGGTGGACATGATTTTGAAGGGTCCTTCGATGGTTGTTTGGCAGAGATTTCGTCCGGGCGGAGCTAGGACGAGCATAGAACGTTCCAGAACGCTCCAAGAGCGTTCTGGAACGCTCTGAGAAGGCCGCGGCGCCCGAGACATCTTCCAGAGCCGCCAGATCTCAGAGAGTCTCGACGTATCCTCACACGTTTTTCCCAACCATCCTGTGGTGTTGGGTCCTCGTTTTGAAGAGACGTCGCCCCGCGTTCTTCCTTCCTCCTCCTTCCTCCTCCTCCCCTTCCTCCCCCCTCCTCCCCCTCCCACACCCATTCTGGCACACCCCTCACACGTTTCGTGGCCCCATAGGGAGCTCCACCGAAGGCCCCAGTGGCTGCGCCCGCATGCGGTTCCACCCCCCGTTCAGGCAAACCCCTCACACGTTTCGTGGCCGCATAGGGAGCTCCACCGAAGGCCCCAGTGGCTGCGCCCGCATGCGGTTCCACCCCCCATTCTGGCACACCCCTCACACGTTTCGTGGCCCCATAGGGAGCTCCACCGAAGGCCCCAGTGGCTGCGCCCGCATGCGGTTCCACCCCCCATTCTGGCACACCCCTCACACGTTTCGTGGCCCCATAGGGAGCTCCACCGAAGGCCCCAGTGGCTGCGCCGCATGCGGTTCCACCCCCCATTCTGGCACACCCCTCACACGTTTCGTGGCCCCATAGGGAGCTCCACCGAAGGCCCCAGTGGCTGCGCCCGCATGCGGTTCCACCCCCCATTCTGGCACACCCCTCACACGTTTCGTGGCCCCATAGGGAGCTCCACCGAAGGCCCCAGTGGCTGCGCCCGCATGCGGTTCCACCCCCCATTCTGGCACACCCCTCACACGTTTCGTGGCCCCATAGGGAGCTCCACCGAAGGCCCCAGTGGCTGCGCCCGCATGCGGTTCCACCCCCCATTCAGGCACACCCCTCACACGTTTCGTGGCCCCATAGGGAGCTCCACCGAAGGCCCCAGTGGCTGCGCCCGCATGCGGTTCCACCCCCCATTCTGGCACACCCCTCACACGTTTCGTGGCCCCATAGGGAGCTCCACCGAAGGCCCCAGTGGCTGCGCCCGCATGCGGTTCCACCCCCCATTCTGGCACACCCCTCACACGTTTCGTGGCCCCATAGGGAGCTCCACCGAAGGCCCCAGTGGCTGCGCCCGCATGCGGTTCCACCCCCCATTCTGGCACACCCCTCACACGTTTCGTGGCCCCATAGGGAGCTCCACCGAAGGCCCCAGCGGCTGCGCCACGGTTCCACCCCCCATTCTGGCACACCCCTCACACGTTTCGTGGCCCCATAGGGAGCTCCACCGAAGGCCCCAGTGGCTGCGCCCGCATGCGGTTCCACCCCCCATTCTGGCACACCCCTCACACGTTTCGTGGCCCCATAGGGAGCTCCACCGAAGGCCCCAGTGGCTGCGCCCGCATGCGGTTCCACCCCCCATTCTGGCACACCCCTCACACGCTTCGTGGCCCCATAGGGAGCTCCACCGAAGGCCCCAGTGGCTGCGCCCGCATGCGGTTCCACCCCCCATTCTGGCACACCCCTCACACGTTTCGTGGCCCCATAGGGAGCTCCACCGAAGGCCCCAGTGGCTGCGCCCGCATGCGGTTCCACCCCCCATTCTGGCACACCCCTCACACGTTTCGTGGCCCCATAGGGAGCTCCACCGAAGGCCCCAGTGGCTGCGCCCGCATGCGGTTCCACCCCCCATTCTGGCACACCCCTCACACGTTTCGTGGCCCCATAGGGAGCTCCACCGAAGGCCCCAGTGGCTGCGCCCGCATGCGGTTCCACCCCCCATTTCGGCACACCCCTCACACGCTTCGTGGGTGGCTCCATGGGGAGCTCCACCGAACGCCCCAGTGGCTGCGCTCGCATGTGGTTCCCCCCCCATTTCGGCACACCCTTCACACGGTTCGTGGCCCCATAGAGAGCTCCACCGAAGGCCCCAGTGGCTGCGCTCGCATGCGGTTCCACCCCTTTTTCGGCACGCCCTTCACACGTCTCGTGGCCCCATAGGGAGCTCCACCGAACGCCGCAGTGGCTGCGCTCGCATGCGGTTCCACCCCCCATTTCGGCACACCCCTCACACGTTTCGTGGCTCCATAGGGAGCTCCACCGAAGGCCCCAGTGGCTGCGCTGGCATGCGGTTCCACACCCCATTCTGGCACACCCCTCGCACGTTTCGTGGCCCCATAGGGGGCTCCACCAAAGGTCCCAGTGGCACTGCCCGCTTGCGTCCGCCACCACCCAGCACAGCCCTTGTTCCCTGCGCTTCACCCACCCAGAACAGCGCTTCGTAGCCCTATAGGGAGCTCCACCAAAGGTCCCAGCGGCACCGCCCGCATGCGTCCGCCACCACCCTGCACAGCCCTTGCTCCCTGCCTGCGTTTCACCCACCCAGTACAGCGTTTCGTGGCCCCATAGGGAGCTCCACCGAAGGTCCCAGTGGCACCGCTCGCATGCGTCCGCCACCACGCAGCACAGCCCTTGCTGACCGCGTCTCACCCACCCAGTACAGCGCTTCGTGGCCCCATAGGGAGCTCCACCGAAGGTCCCAGTGGCGCCGCCCGCATGCGTCCGCCACCACCCAGCACAATTGCGGCATTCACAACTGCATATGGTCCTTCGCCAGGCTAATTATCGTCGTCCTGGCTTCGTCCTTCTTTCGTATGCTGGATTCCCCAGGGCGCTGACGGGTCGGTGGCGGCGCCCGCTCTTTAAGGCAGAGTGTCTTGTGCATATCGCGAGCCGCGGCATGTCGTTGCTTGGTGCGCGGGTTTCCCTAGGAAGCGACGCGTGTCATCCCCGGTTCTCTCTGCAATCAGTTCCGACTGCTGGCATGTGCAGCCCTTGGCGATTTCATCCCCCGCTTTGTTGATACATTTGGGAAGCGGGTAACGGGAAACGGGTAAAAGCTCTGGCGGTGCAGGCGCCGTTCAGCCTCCTGGACGACTTGGCGCGCATCTTGTCGGAGGTTCCTTTTGTTGTTCGCAAGCATGCCACTCAAACGCATGTAGCCATGCTGTCGAGGGAATGGCTGGTTTATGGCATCACGCTTAGAACTCCTTGCCGCACAACAGTGCAAGTCTGGCATGCGGCGAGGGAGGGTTGATATCTTCGTCTGAAACAGGCATCCCGAGTCTTCGCTACCGTGGACGGCCGCAAGCGACAGCGTCACACGTACCGCCACCAGTATCCATGCAAACAGAGTTGAGCCCTACCTGTTATTCACCACAGATGCGTCCGCAAAGTGTCACACTGAGTTCTGGTTTGCACAATGCGCTACCCGTACTGGCGTAGCCGTGCGAAGGCCTTACGGCCAGCGCCGCCGACCCTGAATGCGGGACCTCCCCTGGGACCTCCAGAGGGGGCGTTATTCTGACTTGAGACCGCCCCCCCACCCACCCACCCCACCAACCACCCACCGACCCCACCCACCCCTCCCAGCAAGGAAGGGATAAAGGGCAGGGGCTCTCCTTCGACTCAACTGCGTCGTTCCTTTGTCGTGTTCTTCAAACTTCCTTGGGACTGACGACGACGACTTCGACGACGACGGTGGCCTCCTTCACACGCCGAAAGTTCAGCAGATTTGTATTGTTGTCGTTTCCCTCTCCAGCGCCCCCCCGTTCTGGGTCATGTGTCTCTTCTATGAGGTCCCTCAACTTCTCCCAGTCCGATATCCTTCATCTCATCTTCATGGTTTCCCCTTACCCGCGCTCCTCGTCCTGAGAATGGCTAGATACGACGATCATTGCGCTTCCAGCCTGGCAAGTGCGTTCATCGATAAGGTCAGGGGGTGCGCAGCAACGACGAGGGACCTGGAGGCCAGGCGTCGGGGGTGGACAGAGCCTCCACCCTCACACGTCGATTTGTGAATTGTCCGTTTTCGGTTCTCGAGAGGGCGCCGTGGCCGGCATTTTCCAGGCTTGTGCCCACCAGGTTTGGGCCCGAGGTCGTTTTCACAAGCCCCGGCGGGGGAGAGCTGACAGCGACATCATGCGACATCGCCCCACATGTGTCGCCCAATCGGAAGCCGTCGTGCTCATGTGCCCCAGGAGCAGGGCGAGGGAGTGGGGAACTTAACCAGCAGCGCGCCTGCTGCAGTCGTGCCCCCCCCCGTGTCCTGCAACTCTCTCGCCCTCCCTTTTTTCTCCACATCCTACGCATCCCCCTCCCGATCCACTCCCTTCGCCCATCTCCCTTCGCCCCTCTCCCTTCTCCCTCCCTTTCCCTTCTCCTCTCCCTTCTCCCTCCCTTTCCCTTCTCCATCCCCTCTTCACCCCCACCCTTCCCCCGCCGTCCCCCTCTCCCCCCCCACCCCTCCCCACCTCCTCCCCTCTCCACCTTACCCCCTCCCTCCCGTCTCCCCCTTCCCTCCTGCATCAGCCTCCACCTGTCCCTCCTCGTCCCTCCGTGGATCCCCATCCCGTGTCAATTCTCGACGACACTACGGCCAGAAAACCGTTCGCACAGGCCGGAACGAGAGGAAAAGCGTTGGCCTTGAAAGACATTGCCCGGGGACGTGCCCAACCTTTTGCAATTCGAGGCGACTATACATCGGACCGCTCAATACCAAAACATGCACTGCAGGATCCACCGTGCTCTTGAACGCTTGGGCCAGAGTCAAATATTTCACATTCGCGGCATCACTCTTAGGAGTATGATCGTTGGCAAGAAAGCGACCACGATGGGGCGTGGAAACATGCTGATGAGGGGGAACTGGAGACCTGCTCCGTGGGAGTAACAGCGCATCGCGCTAGGTTCTCATTGCAGAACAGCGCCATGCGCGCTATTACAGAACAGCGCCCTGCGCTAAGCACTGCAAGTGCCCGAGTGCACTACGGACTAAAGGCAACTGATGAGTCGATGCGGCATGGGGGCATGACAGCGCCATGCGCTCCGTGGCGCCTCATCCCGCTGCGATTTGCGCTCAAACAGCGCAGCGCGCTATGTGACGGGACATCGCCGCGAGCTATAGGAGTTCTTGCTTTTTGAATGTGAGTGGTCGCCGCCTGTTGAGGGCGTGGCCGCTCGCGCCATTGGATCATCACCGGCAGTCAACAGAAGCGCGGCTGCAACTGCTAGCGGGCCCCGCGCTCAGTCATGCAGGAACTTGGCCAGGCCAAGCTCGTGTCTTTCCGGCAGCGTTCCGTTCGGGCGCCCAAAGTCCGAAGGCGGGCTGCCAAATCTGCCAGTGGCCCCTTGTACAGAGAGTCGAGGCCTTGTGGTGACGGCGAGGTCTCGTGGTCATGCCCGTAAAACACCCCTTCGCTACACCTCCCAGGATCCCACGAAAGTGGGGACAGTTTCGCAGATCGCAGCCACCCAGGGGACGGCGAGGCCTCGTGGTGATCTGCGTATGACGTACCTCCTCTGGCCGTCCCAAAAGCCCGCGAAAGTGACGACAGTTTAGCAGATCGCAGCTAACAGGGGACGGCGAGGCCTCGTGGTGACCTGCGTATGACGTACCCCCGCTGGACCTCCCAGAAAACCACGAACATGGCGACAGTTTCACAGATCGCAGACCCCCAGGTGGCGGCGAGGTCTGGTGGTGATCTGCGTATGACGCACCTCCGCTGGACCGCCGAAGAACCCACCAAACCTGCGACAGTTTCACAGATCGCAGCCACCCAGGGGACGGCGAGGTCTCGTGGTGATCTGCGTGGGACAACCCCTCCGCTGGACCTCCCAGAAGCCCACGAAAGCTCGCAGATCGCAGCCCCCCGGGGGGGGCGAGGTCTCATGGTGATCTGCGGGGCTCTCTCCTCCGCTGGCCCTCCCAGGAGCTCACGAAAGTGGCGATTGTTTCGCAGATCGCAGCCCCCAAGAAGACGGCGAGGTCTCGTGGTGATCTGCGTATGACGTACCTCCGCTGGCCCTCCCAGAAGCCCACGAAAGTGGCGACAGTTTCGCAGATCGCAGCCCCCAAGGGGGCGGCGAGGTCTCGTGGTGGTCTGCGGTGGACACCACCCCTCCGTTGGCCCTCCCAGGTGCCCACGAAATTGGCGACAGTTTCGCAGATCGCAGCCCCCCAGGGGGCGGCGAGGTCTCGTGGCGATCTGCGTGGGACACCCCTCCGCTGGACCTGGTCCCAGGAGCCCACGAAAACTCGCAGATCGCAGCCCCCTCGTGGGACGGCGAGGTCTCATGGTGATCTGCGTGGGACACCCCTCTGTTGGCCCTCTCAGAAAACCACGAAAATGGCGATTGTTTCGCAGATCGCAGCCCCCCACGGGACTGAAAAGTCCCGTGGTGATCTGCGTATGACGTACCCCCGCTGGCCTTCTCAGGTGCCCACGAAAGTGGGGACAGTTTCGCAGATCGCAGCCCCCCAGGGGACGGCGAGGTCTCGTGGTGATCTGCGTGGGACACCCCTCCGCTGGACCTCCAGGAGCCCACGAACATGGCGACGTTTTCGTAGATCGCAGCCCCTAAGGAAACGGCGAGGTTTCATTGTGACCCGCGTGAAACACCCCTCCAGAGGACCACCCAGGAACCCACGGCGGCAGTTTTGCAGATTGCAGCTCCCCAGGGGACAGCGAGGTCGCATGGTGATCTGCGTGGGACACCCCTCCGCTGGCCCTCCCAGACGCCCACGAAAGTGGCGACAGTTTCGCAGACCGCAGCCCCCCCAGGGGGCGGCGAGTTCTCGTGGTGATCTGCGTATGACGTACCCCCGCTGGACCTACCAGAAAACCACGAACAAGGCGACAGTTTCTCAGCAGAGGAGAGGCTAGGTTTCATGGTAATCTGCTTGGAACACCCCCCCGCTGGCCCTCCCAAAAGCCCACGAAATTGGTGACAGCTTCTCAGATCGCAGCCCCCCAGGGGACTGCGAGGTCTCGTGATGATCTACGTATGACGTGCCTCCGCTGGTCCTCCCAGAAGCACACGAAAGTGGCGACAGGCTCGCAGATCGGCGCCACCCAGGGGACAGCGAGGTCACGAGGCAGGGGGGAGGAAGGAGGAGGAGGAGCAAACGTGGTCACGAGGTCACGAGGAGGTCACGAGGTCACGAGGTCACGAGGAGGATGAGGTCACGAGATCACGACGAGGAGGAGGAAGCATACGTGGAGGAGCAGAATAGAGGGAGGAAGGAGGAGGGGGGAGGAGGAGGAGGAGGAGGAGGAGGAGGAGGAGGAGGAGTGGAGGAGAGGAGGGAGGAGGAGGGAGGAGGAGGGGAGGAGGAGGAGGACGAGGCGAAGAGGAGGAGGAGGAGGAGGAGGAGGGAGGAGGGAGGAGGGAGGGAGGGGAGGAGGAAGAGGAGGAGGAGGAAAGAGAGGAGGAGGAGGGAGGAGTGAGGAGGGAGGAGGAGGGAGGAGGAGGAGGAGAGAGGAGGAGGACGAGGAAGAGGACGAGGAGAAGGAGGAGGTGGAGGGGGAAGATGAGGAGGAGGGGGGAGGAGGAGAAGGGATGTGGAGACCGCAGTGCTTTATTCAAAACGAGTACTCTAACACAGGAGGGCTGGAAAGAAAACGAGGAGCCGGATAATTGAGGGAGGAAAGAGAGGGGGGAGGGGGAGGATGAGCAGGAGGAGGAGGAGGAGGAGGAGAATTAGGAGGAGAAGAAAAAGGAGAAGGACGTGGAGACCACAGTGCTCTATTCGAAACGAGTACCCAACACAGGAGGATTGGGAGACACAAGCGAACGACCCAACCACGTGCAGTTGTGAGCATCGCGTTGTGACACCGCGTTCGGTGAAGCTCCCTATGGTGCCGCGAAGCGCGTGAGGAGTGAGCCGAACTGGGCGGGGAACCGCATGCGAACTTTGCCACTGAGGCGCTCGGTCGAGCTCCCCACGGGGGCTACGAAACGGGTGAGGGGTTTGCCGAAATGGATTGGGAACCGCATGCGAATTTTGCCACTGGGGCGCTCGGTCGAGCTGCCTATGGGGACAAGAGACGTGTGAGGGGTGTGCCGAAATGGACGGGGAACCGCATGCGAATTTTGCCACTGGGGCCTTCGTATGGAGCTCCGTATAGGGCCACGGTACGTCTGAGGGGTGTGCCGAAATGGACGCATGCGAATTTTGCCATTGAGGCCTTCGTATGGAGCTCCGTATGGGGCCACGGCACGTGTGAGGGGTGTGCCGAAATTGGTGGGGAACCGCGTGAATTTTGCCGCTGAGGCTTTCGGTGGAGCTCCATATGGGGCCACGACACGTGTGATGGATTTGCCGAAATGGGCGGGGAACCGCATGCGAACTTTGCCACTCGGGCCTTCGTATGGAGCTCCTACTCGCATGTTCATTTTTCCATTGGGCCTTTCTGTGGAGCTCCGTATGGGGCCACGAAACGTGTGAGAGGTATGCCGAATCGGCATGCTGAGGGCAAAGGCAGGGGTGGGAGGAGGAGGAGAGGAGGACGCGGGGCACTGTCGCGTCGAAACGAGGACGCAGTACCACAAGATGGCCAGAAACACACGACAAGCAACACCGAGCCTGGGCCGAGATCAAGACCTGCAGCACACGGCGTCACTTCCCAGAAGCCCTCGCAGCTTCTGAGATAAGTTTTCTGCCTCTCCGGGGAAGGCGTAGGACACCTCTCGGAAGGCCAGGTGCCTCCCGAGCCTTCTGAGAAGGCCCGCCCCTTCTCGTGTCCCCCCCCCGCTCGCCGACGGGCTGTCCTCTTTAATGCCGCGCGCGAGTGAGGAGGAGGAGGGAGGGAGGAGGAGGAGTTGAAGGGAGGAGGAGGAGGAGGAGGAGGAGGAGGAGGAGGAGGACGGTAATGACGGCGAGGAGGAGGAGGAGGAGGAGGAGGAGGAGGAGGAGGAGGACCTCTGCCCCCTCTCACCCCGCCCGCCCCGTGGCCGCTCTGCCCCGGCCCCGCGAGGTGCGGGGCGGCCGCTGCCACCTCTGGGAGGCCTCCCGCGAGGGCCAGGCGCCTCCCGGGCGTGCGGGCGGCGGTGCGGCAGTCGGGGCTCAAGATCGGGGGCCCCAAAGCGCGGTGGTGACCACACCGTGCGATGAATCGGTGGGGGTTCGGGGTCACCTCACGGTTTTGGGACGCGAGTCCTTCTCCGAGGATGTATCGGGCGACAGGGGCCTCCAGGGTCCCAAGACCGTGCGGTGACGGACCGTGCGGTGAGGTACTTTTTCGAAGCAGAAAAAACAACATAAACATAAACTTTAGGCGCTCCGGCGGTGCGGCAGTCGGGGCTCAAGAGACGGTCGGGGGCGGCCACGAGGGGGGGGGGGGTAATGATTGGAGGGGGGATATCATGGCGTGGGCCATGATCTTTCCCCAGATCTCACGGCGCCTCTTCTTATCTCATTACGTCCCTGGCTTCCCCCCTTGGGCCGCGCACATGCCGCCGGCCATGGTTTGCACCCCCCCTTTTGGACGCCCCCCTCTTGGCCGCCCCCGATGTCGGGGCTCGAGAGCCGGGAGTCAAGGCCTCCCGCGAGGGCCAGGCGCCTCCCGGGCGTGCGGGTGGCGGTGCGGCAGTCGGGGCTCAAGAGACGGTCGGGGGGTGGCCAAGAGGGGGGTTATGATTGGGGGGGAATACATGCTTCGGAACAAATTAGCGAACACTCATGATGCCACATTCATCTGTCAACGGCTCCCCCCCCCAATGTTCAAAGTGGCGGTGGGTCTGACGAGATGCACTTCGACCGCAGTCTCCCCCGCGCGTGCCAACTTCGAGGTTTGGGGGGAGGGGGGGGGTTCAGTAATTGTTGCCCTCTACCGTCTCATCTTTTAGTTTACCCCGTCATTTGCGAGTTGGCGGAGCGATTCTGCGGGTGAGGATTTCTGCGAGACCATTCTGATATGTATATATATATACACACATATATACACATATGTATATTTCTATGTGTGCATCTGCATGTAGATATTACCCTTTTTAGTGTTCTGGCGCCCGGGTCGTCCCGCGCTCAATTTGTCGCGTATTATTCGTATCACTCGTCTCATCACTCTTTGATTTTCACATATTATTCGCATCTTCGTAGAACGAGAATTCTATTATTGAAATTTTCTTTCTTTTTCCTCACGAGTGATACGAGTAATATGTAAAACATAAGGAGTGATGGGACGAGTGATACGAGTAAAACGTGAAAAATGGGGATGGAATGCGCGAGGCGCCTCCGGGGGGGCCCTGGGGCCGTTGGGGAGGCGCGGGACATGACGACATGCAGCCGCTTTGGCCGTTTCTTGCTTGGCGCCCGGACGTCGTCGTCGTCGTCGTCAGTCGGCCGCCGTTGTTGTTCGTCGTAAAAGGCGAAAAGCAAAGTGTCAAGTTCGATTTACCCCTGTCTTACTCAGTCCGGGGTAAGTCCACGGTTGACAGCTTGATTTTCGCAGTGATTGAGATGACTCCTGCCCGGTCCTCCCCTCGAGCATTTTCCCGTGTATTTCTTTTATTTTTGCGCCCCAGTCAGTTCGACGGCAGCCACGTGCCGGGCAACATGCCCACATGCTTCGGAACAAATTAGCGAACACATAATGCCGCATTCATCTGTCAACGGCTCCCCCCCCCAATGTTCAAAGTTGGCGGTGGGTCGGATGAGATGCACTTCGACCGCAGTCTCCCCCGCGCGTGCCAACATTGAGGTTGGGGGGGAGGGGGGGTGTTCAGTAATTGTTGCCCTCCACCGTATCATGGCGTGGGCCACGATATTTCCCCAGATTTCATGGCGCCTCTTCTTATCTCATTACGTCCCTTGCCGCCCCTTGGGCCGCGCACATGCCGCCGGCCATGATTTGCACCCCCCCTTTTGGACGCCCCCCTCTTGGCCGCCCCCGATGTCGGGGCTCGAGAGACGGGGGTCATGGCCTCCCGCGAGGGCCAGGCGCCTCCCGGGCGTGCGGGTGGCGGTGCGGCAGTCGGGGCTCAAGATCTGGGGCCCCCAAGCGCGGTGGTGACCACACCGTGCGATGAATCGGTGGGGGTTCGGGGTCACCTCACGGTTTTGGGACGCGAGTCCTTCTCCGAGGATGTATCGGGCGACAGGGGCCTCCAGGGTCCCAAGACCGTGCGGTGACGGACCGTGCGGTGAGGTACTTGTTCGAAGCAGAAAAAACAACATAAACATAAACTTTAGGCGCTCCGCGCGGATTTCTCGGATCCACGCTGGTGCCCCCCTGGCGGCGCCTCCGGAGCCGCCCCTAGCTCGCTCCGCGCGCCAGGGAGGGGGGCCAGGCGCAGATCCAAGAAATCCGCGCGGAGCGCCACAAGTTTATGTTTATGCAGTTGTTGTTTCTTATTCTAAGTCGGGGCTCAAGATATGGGGGTCAATGCAGACGGGGGTCAACCAGAGCGCCGTTGCTTGCAGGATCCTGCAGGGCCAGGGTCGCACTGACCTGGGTTTGGGCAAAGGATCCTGCAGGATCTTGCAGGATCCTTCGCGTTGACCCAGGCTGGGGTGCAGAATCTTGCAGGATCTTGCAGGCTTCTGCAAAGCCTGACTGGCCTGGGTCTGGATTGACCTGGGTCAGAAGATCCCCGAGGTAGGTTCGTGCGGCGATGGCGCGCCCGCGACGCCAGCGAAGGTCGTCGTCGTCGTCGTTCTACGGGTACGGAGGTTCACGCGGCGATGGCGCACCGGCGACGCTGGCGAGGGCGTTTAAGGTTGAATTCTGCGACGCGGAAGCACCGAGGGACACGTTGACGGCATTGGAGCCGACGAAATTCAACGTTGAACAATCGGGGCCGCGATCTATTGAAGGTTGAACGATCGACGCGTTATCAAAAACCTTTGCGTCTTTGCGCGTGCCGACGCCGCGCGAACCTACCGTAGGGGACCATCGGGCGTTGCGTAAGGGGGGGGGAGGCCATGAGCAGGGGAGGATGGGATGAGGGGTACGTGCATTTCCTGTGCACTTTTGGGGCCCTTTCTGGGCCTCCACAGTTAGTGCCCGAAAAGGGCACATATTTTTTATTTTGCTTCCAAAATCCCCCTGTAGACGGACATGCCCGACCTAGAATTATCCCCACCCCCCATGAAGCAGCGCCCAAGACCATCCGAGACGTGTCCTGGGCGCAAAAGTTGGCCTGGAGAGGAAGGGGTCGTCGGACCTTTGGGGCCGCGGGCTGAAAAACAATAGGTACGCGAAGGATCCAACCGTGTACAGCGGCGACCCATGCCAAGAAACACCCTGCTTGTCTCCAGCGTGCCCTGGGCTTCTTGGGTTTCGATGGTTTGGCGTGCATTGTTTGCAAGTGTATGGCCTGCGCCTTCTCAGAAGCAACCTCCTTTGAAGAGCCCGATGTGGGCGTGGGTCGGAAGGTGCTAAAAGGGGTCCGTAGCAGGGGGTCTTCCATGGGTGTTGACTTGGCCCATCTATGGCTCATGGATTGCCCACTCCAATGCGTCCGGTATGGTTGGCAGCCAGTGCGCGTTGGGATTCTGAGGCAGGAATGCAGCGCTCGAGCGTTGTCTGTTGGCGGTGCAGATGAGACCCATGCCAAGAAGTACCCTGCTTGCCTCCTGGGTGTCCTGGGTGTCTTGGGTTTCGATGGTTTTGCGATGGAGAGCGCGGCGCTCTCACTCAAAAAGTTCATGGACTGCCTGGTGATCGTTTTCTTATCCATTGTTCTGCCGATCGGCGCGGGCCCGCGCAACCCCCCTTCCCCCCCCATGGAGTAGATCCTGGCTGCTTTTGGCGCCTCTTTCGAGCAGGTGGAGCCTCCCCTCATGAGGACGCACTGTCGCAAACAGTCGCACGAAGCAGAGGTCCAGAGCCAGCCCCCCCCCCATCCCCCCCCCTCTTCGCTCAATGCCGAAACGCCGAATCGGAAAACGCTCATCTACTCGCAAAATGCCGATTCGCAAACGTCAGAAAAAGTAAACACATGTCTGTATCGATGTAATGTATCAAAAGCCCCCGTTGCGGATCCGGCCATTTGCGAGCAGTCACTCTGCGAGTAGTGGAGCGCGCTTGTCTGTCCCCCCTGGGCCCTGGGCTTTGCCCTCCCTCCAGTTCACTTGGCATCGCTCGGACGTGTGCATATCTTCTCGGCGAGGACCGTCGAGAAGCATCCTGGATCACCTGGCAGGGGAGGAGAACGAGAAACGGAAACAAACAAAAAACGCGCGAGCCGGCAGAGCGCGCGAGGAACGGAGGCCCGAGCGGTGGCAACTTCGCCTCGCCTCGCCCCCTCGCTGTCCCTGCCCGCTCCCTGCCCGCCCCACGCCCTCCTCGTCGGCGCCCCGGCTCTCGGCCCCTGCCTCGGCGGCACTGGGACGAGCACGACGACGGATGCGACGAGGCACGACGATGTACACCTTAGGCGATGCTTAAGAAAACTTACGTTTTCGGCCAGAGTCTCGATTATTCTTAATGTTTCAATGTAAATCCCATGAGTTTGATAGAAGTTTTGGGTTTTTATTCAAATTCTGAGACTATGAATTTCTTAACCCATGATTTCTTAAGCATTTCGCAGGGTGTACGACGACGCCCGGTAACGCGCGACGACGTACGACGACGCGTTCGACGACGAGTTCGACGACGAGTGCGGCGACGTACCTCCAGTGCATATCCCCCCCTTTCGCGGCAGCTGGCCCCTCTGCGCTTTCGGAACCGATCGGGCGTCTCTCCTGCTGGTGCCCGATTCGATCCAGTCGGATGCGTGACGATTGGATGTTTGGACGCCCGAAATGGGCACGGGAAGAGTGGGTACGATGCCCAACAGCAGTTCCTGTTCATTTTGAACTGGATTCGCTGTCCACGCCGCCGCGGCCTGTGTCCATTCGAGACAGAAGGCCGCCTGCCCAACAGCGGCCGCTGTAGGTTTGGGACAACATTTGTTGTTGGGCATTGTACCCATTGTTTCCGTACCCATTTCGGGCTTCCAAAGGATGTTCGGATCGGTCCGACCCGATTTATCGGTGAGCTGCTAAAATTTGGTCGGGCGTGTCCCTCTACAGGAGGAACGTTCAGAAATAGTAAAAGAATAATCTGGGGATGATGTTTCATGTTTTACCATTTTTGAATATGTTCTGATTTGTTTCATGTTTCGTCAAAAATCCGCCTGTAGGGGGACATGCCCGACCTAACGTTACGCACATCGAAGCGGAACAAAGGCAGACGCCAACGCGAAGCGAATTACGAGACATGAATCGCGCAGGTCTAAGCAAGTCTTAGCGAAGGAGACGTCTACAAGTCAAAGGATGAACGTCGAATCGAAGTTGGGCCAACATAATATATGAAGAGAATAGAAAGACCAACGCAAAGCATATGAAATAATTTGCATTCAGATCAGCGTTGGTACTATCCGACGCCCCCGCAGGAGGCTGGAGACGATCCGGGCCTCCACGGCTGCGATTGCGAGGAGCAGTGCAGAACGGACCACGCGCCCCGTCTTTGCGTGAGGGTGAGGTGAATGTGTGGTTCCGTCCGTTCAGGCGTGCGACCATGGCGTATTGATATTGGCGGTGCACAGGCACGCAGTTCAGCAACGCACGAAGTGTTCGACGTTGCCTGACTGGGCTCACAAACATCGCAGGGATGGCTGCACGCACGTAGTGAGGTACTGACGCTCCGCCCATTCCTCCGAGCTCCTGCCAGATACGCATGTAGCCGTGTTGCTCCAAGTTGCAAGTGTCACCCTTCAGCGTGGGCCGAAGTCCTTCCTCCTCCTCCTCCTCCTCCTCCTCCTCCTCCTCCTCCTCCTCTTCCTCCTCCTCGGTATCCTCCTCCTCCGTTTCCCATCCTCCTACTCCTCCTCCTCAATCCTCCTCCCTTACTCCTCCTCCTCACTCCTCCTCCTCCTCCTCCTCCTCCTCCTCCTCCTCCTCCTCCTCCTCCTCCTCCTCACGACACGTCGAGATGGGAAAGCATTATCCTTCCTGTCCGGGATGGGTTAAACGAGCATGGACAAGCGGCGCAGCGGCCGCGTGAAGGGCAAGGGGGAGGGGGAGGAGGAGCAGGAAAGGAGGAACAGGAGGGGGAGTAGAATGGAAAGGGAGAGGGGGATGAGGAGTGGAAGCAAGAACGGGCGGGAGAGCGGGAGAGGAAGGGGCATTTGATGCAAGGAGGTCCTCCTCCTCCTTCTCCTCCTCCTCCCGACGAAGCGCCCAACTTTCAGGAGCACTGGTTGAACTGGTGCGTACCTCTTTCTTCGAGGTTCCAATGGAATTGGACGCTTATACTGGGATGAGAAAGAATTGCTCAAGAGACACACCGAGTTGTCTCTGAGAGAGATTGTTGAGATCTGGTGCAGGCAGGCGCGGGACAGAGCCACTCCACACAGAGCTTGTTTTCTTCAACCTCCTGCGCCACACCACCGACAAGGAGGCCAGGAGTGACATCGTCAGGGTCCAGAGGAGATAGCTGGGGGCATTGACATGGAGCTTCCGTGTACGTTTACAGTCGGGGCGCTGAAGAAGGAACCCTTCTCGCTGGGGAGGGGCTCGGTGTTCCTTGACTGTTTCAAAGTTTGCCTCGGGTTTTCCTGAGGTTTTCCATAGGAAATCGAGGTTGACAAGGTTGAACTTATGGGAGAAAGGGGCCTCGTTCCTTATTTAGGGTTCCTTAGGTCAACGCCTCGACTGTACTAGATTCGGTTCCACACCGTATTGACGAGTCGGCTTTGGATGCCTTCTCTTACGACGAGCTGGAGATGAAGATTGGCATGTGGCATGGGAAAGGTACTGGGTTAGAGGCTGCGCCCGCGGATCCACAAGGACGTGCTGGAGGCTTCTCTATGTGCCAAGCGGTGGACACGGGGTCAAGGGCATCCTCCTCTTTCTCCTCCTCCTCCTCCTTCTCCTCCTCCTTCCCCTCCCCCTCCCCTTCCCTCTCATCCCCCTCCCCTCCCCCTCCTCCCCTTCCTTCCCCTCCTCCTCCTCCCCCTTCTCCCCTCCCCCCTCCTCCTCCAATTACAAGACGCCCGGGTTGGATGTGCCTGCTGGGAGGTACGGGGTCGGGTGCTTCCCCCCATGGGCCCACAGAGGCGCGATAGAGTAGCAGAGATGTGCCCCATGGAGGGTGCAGGGGCGAGGGCTGCCCCGGCGGACCCACACCATCGTGCTGAAGGTTTCTCGACGTGCCAATTTGGGAGCACGGTGTCGGGGGCATCTCCCGTGGACCCACAGGTTGCCAGGAACTCTCCAAGATCCGCAACAGGAACATGTCGCTGTGGGGTCCCTCGGCTACGATGATGCTAGAGAATTATGTGGATGCAGCTACCATTCAGGAGACGCGTACGGCGTTGGACATCTGCAGGGATGTGCTGGTCGAGTCCGATAAGGAGGGTTGGACAATCGGTGAAGCCTAGCAGGCATCTCCAAAGGCAGGTGGAGTGGCAATGGGCATTGCGAATAAAGGGCACCTTGAGCACTTCGGCATATGCCATCCATCAAGGACTTCCCACCTGTCTACAGCTTCGCTGACGGCAAGGGGACGCGGTGGTACCTGAAGGTGCTCTGGATCTTGCGCAGAAAGAATCGGCCAATGTTGAGTTGGTCGGAGACGGAGGGCGCGCGCACTACGACATCGTCGTGGAACTCAAATAAGAAGTTAGCGAGGCGTTTGGTATGACTCCAGGGTTGCCCAGAGCTTTCGGGCTCCCCAACCAGCCTAAGAAGCGGGCAGACCCAAGCGGCAAGAGGTCCAGGATGAAAGGCGAAGTTGCCAGCAGCCCTACTGACCCGCTGCCGAAGGTACGTCAGCTGTGGGAGATAAGGAAGCTAGCTATCAAGGGACCTCCTGCGCTGAGTGCCCGGGGCACCCTTTGGACGCGCGACGGAAGAGGAAGGGGAACCCGAAGAGGATGAGGTTCTAATTGGAGGAACCCGGCGTACCAAGTGAACCGGAGCTACCAGTTCAAGAATAGCCGAGTACGAATGGGATTATGTTGTGATGGACACCAAGTGGACTTTGGAAAGCAGAGAAGAAGTATGGAACAGCATCAAGCTGGAGAAGGTTACAGATGGGAGCGCCCACACCCCTACTTACATAATTTCTATGGGTACCTAGCAGCCGAGGACAGCGCTCGGAAGCTAGGTTGCACTTTTGGCGAATGGATTGACAAAGAGTTGCACGCTCCTGGATGGCGGAGGTGTGGACGTAGAGAGCACGTCCCACCGAGGTAGAGGAGTTGCAAGGGCGCTGGGACGCGCAAGGTTGTGCCATTCCCACTGCGCACTCGCAGTCGGGATGCCGGGGTAGAATGGCGGGCGAAGATCGGCTTTTGCACGGGCGACTTGGACAGGGCCAAGGGCGCGTGAGAGCCACAGATTTCGGAAGTTGGTTGTCCGAATCAGGGAGGCGACATTGGTGGCGCCGCCCTCTACCAGCTGGCCGAGAAAGGACAAGATCTTCCGGCGCGGACAATGCAGGATGCCATGCTCGCCAGACGATGGAACGATGCGTCGGCACAGGGAGGAGCGCACGAAGCTTTCTCGTCGCATGCAGAGAGTGGGGTTGCGACTCGCAGTATCTGGCGCGCACTGGATGGGCAGGGGAGCAGCACGCATCAGCCCTGGGTAAGCTGTTCAGGATGACCACGGACAGTAACGCCCTGATGAGTGAGTTCGAGCCGGGACAAAACCATTTCGAAGGACCCCAGGACGGCCCTGGACACAAGGGCATGCTCGCGGGAAGTTCAGCGGGCCGATGACGACCTGAACTGGGGCAGGGTCAGGAAGCTGATGGACGATGTACGCGGAATTGCCTCCAGCTTTGCTTTCGCCATGCTCGACGAAATCCTCCTCCCCCTCCTCCTCTTACTGTCCCTCCTCCTCCTCGCGTTCCTCTTCCTATTCCCCCTCCTCCTTCCCTTGTTACTCTTCCTGTTCCTCCTCTTCCTGTTCCTCCTCTTCCTGTTCCTCCTCCTCTTCCTGTTCCTCCTCTTCCTGTTTCTCCTCCTCTTGTTCCTCCTGTGTACAGTCCTGAAGACATCATCGCGGGGGTCACGACAGCACGTCCAATTTAAGAACAAGGAGGACGCAAGTGGACGGACGGAACAGATGAGAGAGATCAGGCACGCGTGGCCTGTTGCGCCCCCTCGAGCGGCCCGAGCTTTCCGAACCCAAGATCTGGGCCAAGGGGCGCGCAGAGAACTGCGAGCGCGAGCTCGGGCGGACAGGAAGGACCACGAGGGCCGACGTGCGCATGCCTCGCGAGAGCCTCGGCCAGGATTCGGCACCTCGTGGGGGACCCGCGGATGCACTGTTGGATCGCGCTCTGCCGACATCCCCCGGCGAGGAAATTGCTGCGTGGATAGCGAGCACTGCCACCGTCTTGGCCGGGCGGTACATCTTGTCGTGGTACGGCCGCAAGCGGAAGGACAGGAGATCGCAGAAGAAGTCGGACCGCCGCTCGGCTGCGGGGGAGGGGTTGCAGATGTTTCAGTAGCCACCAGCGCAAATCAGTGCAATGAGGGTGTAGGTCAGCAGACGTACTGTGAGCTCACAGATGCGAGCGAGTGTCCCACAAAGCACCATGATAACCGGACCGAGGAGTCAAATCGAGGTCGGTTTGGAGAGGGTACCCTAGTGTTCTTCGTGTTTGTTGGGTGTTCTTGCGCATCTTGGGGAGGGTGTCCTTGGATGTGTTGTGCGTTTGGGTCAGCGGAGGGTCTCATGCTCTTGGAGGACGCGGCTCTGCACTAGGGCAAACTCTATGGGATGTGTTGTGGCAGGGTTCATGTGGCTCCCAGTGGCTGGCAGTGGGCGATTTGACGATTGACCTGACGAGTTGTGCTCACTGCCGCAGTCCAATCCAAGTACCTTCTTCTTGGATTCTGACATTTGCGCGTCATCTGTTATCATCCCTTCTCTCCGCATGAACGGCCAACACGCGCTCAGGAGAAGGAGGAGAAGGAGCCCTTGGCCAAGAGCCCCGCATGCCAGACAGACGCCTCGCCCGAAGCATACGTTATCGGGAAGCGGGTCTGACGCTCCGATTTGCCCGTCGCTTGGCCTTAGAATTCGGGGGCACTCGCTCGTTCGGTGGGTTGGGACGCTGTGTGGCAGACTACGGTGCCATGCCAGCTTGCTTCACTTCTAGAATTACAATTCACGTTCTTACTTTCTGCGGGGTGACTTTCCTATAGCATGCCACATGTTCATGTATGCGTCGGAACCCAGGTACGGTGGCTGTCATGTGGTTACGTAGTTTTGCAAAGTAGGCCAAACTATGTGCAACACCTATGTGCAACACTGGGTCTACATATGATCCCGGGCTCTGGGCCCATGGCCCCCATCCCCCACATGGGATGGGTCTCAGGGTCCCTCAGGCTCCCCCCCCGCAGATGGGAAGGGGGGGAACGACGACGACGACGACGAAGAAGACCCCGTCCGCTCTGGCTCCCTGAAGCACCTCAACACCACGACACACCCAGAGGGAGGCGACGGTGGGGAAAACACCGTCGGCGACGATGTTGCTTCTCTTCCTCTCTCCGCCAAGCGTAGCAGTTTTTTTTGTCTTGCCTAGGACGGCGATGCACGTGCCGATGCCGATACCGATGCCGACGCTGATGTCGTCGTCGTCGTCGTCGTCGTCGTCGTCGTCGTGGTCGTCGTCGTCATCGTCTTCCTCCTCCTCCTGTTTAGGAGGGCCGACCACCACCACCACCACCCACCACCCCACACTCAAAGGGCGGGGGGGGGAGGGCTGGACCCCATACCCACCACCACACGCCCACAGGGGAAGACCCCACCACACCACGCCCACAAGGGGGAGGGTTCATTTCGATTCCTCCGATTCGATTCGATTTCGATGGCTTCCGATTCCGACTCGAGTCGACTCGGGATTCCGATGTGGGTTCCGATTTCTCATTGGAGGCACGCTAGCTTGCCGATTTCTGCCGATTCGACTTCTCCCGGCCCGGCTGCCGATTTTCGCCGATCCGATCCATTTCGTTCGCCGATCCGATTTGTCGATTCGTTTTTGGGCTCTCCTGGGGGGAGGGGGGGGGGCACATCGCGCGGGGAGGTGTGCGTTGCGCGCTTTTCATGTTGCGGGCGTTTAGCATATGGTTCTTAGCCCGATAGGAGGAAATGGCCACTGGGTTGCTGGTTCGTGACGGGGTTGTTGTAGAAGGTTCTTCGGGTTCGGTCTGTAATAAATCACGGGTGCCTCTACTGGCTCGCTGTGAAAGTTGGTCTTCAATGAGTGAGGGCAGAATTTACGCCTCCTGCCCGTGGAGCCATGTCAGCGCTCGGCGGAAACCGTGCTCGCTCTCTTGGATTTTTACGGGCCACGTTTGATACGTTTGACCTTCTTTGCCTCGGCGGGAGCCCGATGGCATCAGCACGAGGGGGGGGCCTAAACCCTAGACAATATATCCAGTTGCCTGCGGCAAGTTCCGCCACCGTGCCTTCGCAGCATTCTGGGTCGCGACGGTTCGAGGGGGCACGGGAGGCCGTCACGTCTTCAGGTTTGGGAGAGCCATTATGAGGATGAGGATGAGGATGATGTTGATTGTGATGATGGTGATCGATGGTGATGGGTCTGATGATGTTGGTGGTGATGTTGATGGTGATGGTGATGGTGGTGATGACGATGACGATGACTATGACGATGACAATGGTGGTGATGATGCTGATGATGATGATGAAGATGCTGACTATGATTATGGTGCATGGTGATGATGCAGATGATGATGATGATGATGATGATGATGATGATGATGATGATGATGGTGATGGTGATGGTGATGGTGATGGTGATGATTATGATGATGCGGATGAGGATAGGGGTGATGATGAGGATGAGGATGATGGTGATGATGATGATGATGATGATGACGATGGCGATGGTGGCGATGATCGAGGATGGGCGATGATGGTCGGTGATGATGCGGATGAGGATA